ATTTTGCTTAGTGGTTTCCAAGTATTATTTAAACCACATCGGCCCACACAGACTGTATTTAATAGTATGGTTTTTTTCATAATCTCTTCCTATAGGAAATAAAAGGCACACTGCTTGAAGACACCGCATAGGCCCCCAAGGATACATTATCTGGTTGCAATCCCATTTTTCAACATACTTTTTTTCTAACATCTTTTGGGACAGGGCTGGTGTGTTGAATAAGAAATGAAGAACAATCATCTATGAGACTGTGGGATTTTTAGAATTGATGAATCTATGCTTGACTGCAAAGGAGGAAACAGTCATTTTATCCTGATGATCTGACCGATGGATATACAGTGTTGGCTTTGCAGTGATGAGTAATGGCCGCTCAGATAATGTATGTTTGCAGTAATTAGAATCAGACATGTTTGTTGGAATGAAATGTGTTTTAAATGGGTAATGCAATCTTTTGTTCTGTCTCATGCTATTTGTATCGAACATCTGTTTATTTATATGGTGAGCGAAAAAAACAACCAAAAAACCTTTAGAATAGATCCGAGGACAATTTAAAGTAATCAGCTCTACGTCGTTTTTTATCTTTACACAGTTATTATTATTTACATTTTATAGAAAGGAGGAAATGTTTTCTTTGACAACACAGGATCCAATGCTAGAAAAATAGGATATGCAACTGATTATTATTACGCTAAACAATATACTGAGGTTGAGAAAAAGATGCACGTATTTGTAAAGAAATAAAAAAAAAAGCAAAGCATTATTTCTTTTTAGGATTAGAGTAATTGAAATTGTGCTTCACATAACATAGCTCTAAACAGGTGCAATGATTTATTAAACTATCTAAAGGCAAACTCTACTGTACTGTGTAAGTATAGTCATTTTTAATAGGCTATTTTTTTTACAAATATGTATTATATATTAATGGCAAGGGATTTTTAATTAAATATTATGTAAAATAAATTTGCTACTTACTATTATTCCAGCGACATCAGCTGCCCCCTTGATGCACTCTGACCCCTTTGATGTCATATAGTCACTGGATTATGGTCCAATCCAGTTCTTCTAATTTAGATGAATTGCAGACCCTAGAGCATACGCGGCCAACTAAATTCCTCCCACATTCCTCCTGCTCGGGAATGTGCATTAAGCATAATACAATATGACTCTCAGATAAAGAAGGCTTGGGGGCATGGTTTAAAGCCTTCACGCAGTTAAAAGACATCGAATTTGAGTATAGTAGAAGGGTAAAAATATGATAAGTTAACATTCCTACAGTGTTCTTTAAAACAGAGTAGGTTTGGGCAGGCTTCAAACAATTAAGGAGGGTAAATGGGTCCAGTACATAAATATAGACATATAAGGCGATCGACATTGACATTGAATTAAGTCAACTGAATGATTCCATAAAATATTAAAACATATAATATAAACCATGAACTGACATTCATAAACAAGACAGATCAAGTACCACAGGAGTACAACACTAGAATATTTAACCACAACATATTATAATACTAAACAGTGAAGTAAACCCTTAAAAGAAAAATACTACCCCGATATGTAACAGTAGCAATTAAAGTTATAAACTTCACAAATGTGCTTGATCTTTGACCTAAAACGGATTGTGCATACAATGGAAGAGATTTATCAAGGCAGAGCAGGTACTATTCTGAGTGTAAAGTGCTACATGTTGAGTCACACTCTATTAGTTTCCATAGTGACTGGTCCCTGAGTAGAAGGTGTTTATGCCTTGATAAATCTTCCCATGCATGTGGAGACATAGTTCCAATACGCTCTGTATCCCAGAAAAGAATAATCAATTTCACAACCAGCTGAGGACATCATATTCTGAGTAGCTGGACAAGATTTACTGGTTGATGGTATCTCACCTATCTGTTCACTCAGCAACCCCGAATTTAGACCTGAACCTTCTATAACACACAAGAACCATATAGAACAGAATATACTTGCCATTAAAATTAAATGGAAATTCAACTAGGGGTGATAAAAAGAGAAATTGGGAAAATATTAATTTAAAGGAGCACTATATGGTCAGGAACACAAACATATATTTCTGACCCTATAATGTTACAATTATTCAAGTCTGCAACTGCTACCTCTGCCCCTATTTGTCTGTGAAACTGTCTGCTGACATCATCAGAAGTGTTGTTCTGAGCCAATCACAATGCTTTCCCATAGGATTGTCTGAGTCTGACAAGGAGGCAGATCAGGGGCAGAGCCAGCACAATTCAAACTCAGCCCTGGCCAATCAGCATATCCTCATAGACATGAATTGAATCAAAGTTCAGTGTCTGCATGAAGAGGGTGGAGACACTAAATGTTGTGATGCATTCTAGGCAAGACTGAGATAGGAAGCACCTCTAGCAGCCATCTAAAGCTTGGCCAGTGAAGTTATCACTAGGCTGTAATGTAAACACTGCATTTTCTCTGAAAAGACAGTGTTTACAGCAAAAAGCCTGAAGGGAATGATTCTACTCACCAGAACAAATTCAATAAGCTGTAGTTGTTCTGGTGACTATGGTGTTCCTTTTAAAAAAAATCCCCTTTAACCTTTTTGAGAATTTTACATATTTATTGATCTGCTTCATCACACTTTAGTGCACCTTCCCCTAATTTACTTCACATACAAACGCCAAGATCAAACAGAATAGAAGTGGAGAGCTTTTCAACCACAATTATTTCCATAGTGCTCACATTATCATAACAGGGTCAAATAAATACTTTTGAATGCTTTAGGCAATCAATAGGAGACATCTTCAGGTAAAGACCATAGTACTCAGCTAAAATATACATTAAAGGAAAAACACACATTGGTTTGCAGTTCATTAGAGTCCGTTCATTGTTGCAAGCAATAAATATCTTGTGGCTTCCAAGGATCATCCATGTATATGATGCCACTCTGTGTTTCACTTGTGCAAGCTTCAAAACGTTTTGATAATTTGAAACATTTATCCAAAAATATTAAATCAAATTTCTAACCTGGAGCTACAAAATATCAGAAACTAGTCTACTATGAACTATAGTCTACATCAAATACCTGCTGCGTGGTCAGCACCATCAATGATTAGTGTAAGCAGGCAAAACAAAAATAAATATACTGCTCTCGATAAATGCACAGGCTGAATCCAGGATTTAAAATTTCATTCTACATCATATTACCAAAATATTACATATATAATGATGCATATATAATATCTGTGTGATGGATTTTGTGTGGACATCCACGGTGACCAGCTCTCCTCTTGGCCAGGTTATAATTCCAGCTGGGTATCTAATGACTGGTAGGGCATATCTGTTGATGGTTTGCATCTTTTTCTTGCCATTGAGCTGGGATATCAGGACTTGTCTGCCTCTCTGGAGGTACTTGGATGTTGCTATCCTTCTTGCTTCTATCTTGTGGTTGCCATGTGTGGACCTTTATGTTGAGAGCCAGCCTGCAGGCTGCCAAGCCCCTTCAGTGGGTGGACCTGCCCCTTTTCAGGGCTGGCCTGCCTATTGTGCACATCCCAAGTGATGTAACCATCAAGGTCCTCCAGGGCCTGCCCACCTGCATCCTAGATCCATATCTCTCAAAGTTAAAACATCTTTTCAGTGATGTTCCTGGTTTAAACCTAAACATGCTCAATTGAAGAGGCCAGAAACAATGCTTATTTTCTAAGACCATGTTATGGACATGAAATATGACTACCATTTATACATATAACTCTCAAAGTTATAAGTTCATCATTTAACAGATATTCCCTGCATAAATTCAATTTTATTAATGACACGGAGGCTCCTATTATGCTATCTCTTTCTTACTTTATTCCTCAGCAGCAAAGAGAAATATAACTGAAAGAGAAAAATAAGTAGAATATAAGCAATGTATAACATATACAACCATATCTGCCTAGTAACAGGGCAGCCAATCAGTCTCTAGGAACAGTCCATAAATCTCTATCCTTGTACTTCCACTTCCTCTTTCTTTGCTGCAGTCCTCAGACCAGCTAAGTATAATTTTTCTCTCCTACATTGTTTGATTGATGGGTTTTAATAAGGTTATTTTACATGTGTTATTGCCTGTATCTATCTTCTGTTTGCTGTTTGCATTTATTTGTCTTTATTGGCATGCTTTATGTCGGTTTTTTATGTAACTTGTAAACCTCTTTGGTTTATATTCTGCCTCCCCTGCGTTCGTCCGCCGCTTCCCCTGTCTGTGTTGCCGTTCCCTTTCCAGACAGGGTTCGCGGCTAGCAGGGGAGGTTCATTCTGGAGCACTGTGCTCCCCCGTTCCCTTTCCCCTCGGCCGCGCTTATCTGCCGACCCGATCTCCCGCTGGTGTGAGGGAGTGCCGGCCGCGTGTGTGGTCGCGCTCCCCGGCCATTAGCGGGGGAGGAGCCTGGAGGCAGCCGCGGCGCGTCCCGCGCACGGCGGCCATCTTACCCTCGTGTTCCATGCGGCTGGGTCGGCTCCCTCTACCTCTCCCATGTGCTGTGCAAGTATTGTGTATAATTTTGTTCCTAGTGGGTTACTCAACCCCTCTACTGTCTAGGTCTATTTACTGTAATTTGTTTTAGGTCAGTTTAGGTTTGACATTTTGCTCTGCTCCTGTGTTTGATATTTAAAGGGGCAGTACTTGCAGTTCTATTTTGGCCTTGTTCACTATGCAGGCTAGGGGTGAGGGTTCTGGTAGTCCCAGTTACCCCATTATGGACTCCTCTCAGACCCCTATTACAGGGGATATGGGCCTTACTCCCTCCCAGGAGTTCCAGGCCCTTTTTGATTCCACCATGCAGAAGGCCCTGGCTTCGGCCATGGGGACCGTGTCCTCATCCCTCTCTCACACTATTCAGCAGGCGCTGTCGCAGCCTTTGGGCCCTGCCGTGTTGCCTGCTCCCCTGCCTACGCTGCAACCTCAGACGGGTCGCAAGGCACAAGCAAAATTTAAACATGTCTCTCTAGATGTGACGCAGGTGATACCTGCCCTGACTGACGTGCCTATGGCCGTCCAAGATGGCGCGTTTCTGCGCAAGAGAGCCGCTGGCCGGGCAAAATCGGCCAGAAAATGGAAACGGGCACGTGCCCTTGATGATGATGGATCGGATACCGATCAAACTGGAGAGTCGGACTCGGATCCCCCTGATTACGCCTCCTATGAGGAAGGGGTTTCCGGCGATGAGGCGGAGTTCAACGCTTCGGCGCTTCCTCCGGGTGAGGGGCAGGACATCTGTGATCCTCAGGGTTACCCCCTGTTCAATCCCGATGACCTTCGCCACCCTCGCTCAGCGGAATGGGACCCGCCCGCGCATATTGCCAATTATCTGGCGCTTCGTATGCATACCCCCTTTCCAAGGAGGGGCGCAGTTAATTGAGGGCCGAGTGCCCAAGGCGATTCTGCTCAAAATTGAGCCCAAGTTAGTTAACCTGGCAGTGAAGGAGCCTGGTGCTTCGGCCAAAGGTATGCTCTTTGGAGAATGTTTTGTTAAGGATTTAGGCTCCTTTGTCCGTACCTTTACAGCGCTCGATAAGGCGCAGTCTAACCTGAAGAGGGTTTTCGGCCCTAAGGTTTCCCATTAGAGGAGGTATAGGAGCCGTCCGCCCGGCTGTGGAGCTCGAGGTCCCCCGCGGACTCACAGAGGTTCCTTTTCCGCCCCCCGGAACTACCAAGACTATAAGCCAACGCCCTTTTTTCCCTCGCGAGGGAGACCATGGCAGAGTCGGGGAAGTCGTGGACAACCCTCATACAGACGCCCTTACGGTGAGTACCCCAAAACGTGTGTTTTGCAGAACGAGTGTGGGGGGCAGATTGGCGTTGTTTCTCGATGTGTGGGGTATGATCACCACAGATGTTTGGGTTCTCAATGCGGTCAGGGGTTTCCGCCTGGATTTATTGTCTCCCCCTGTCCAGACGTTTATCCCACAGGAACTGACACTGCCAGAAGAGCAGTCCGCATTGATTACCGCAGAGATCGCGGAACTGTCTGCCAAACGAGCTATTCAGGAAATCCCCTACGGACACCCAGGATTTCTAAGCAACTTGTTTCTTGTCGCCAAGAAAGGCTGTGGCGTACGTCCGGTGATAAACCTCAAACACCTCAATTTTTTCCTCCGTTACCATCACTTCAAGATGGAGGGCGCTCATTGTCTCCGGGACCTGCTCCGTCAGGGAAACTGGATGGTCAAATTAGACCTCAAAGATGCCTACTTGACTATACCCATGGCGGAAGAGCATTGGGACTTATTGCACTTTACGTGGCAAGGTCGTCGATGGCGGTTTACGTGTCTGCCATTCGGTCTATCTTCAGCTCCGTGGTGTTTCACGAAAGTGATGAAGCCCGTAGTGGCCTTCCTCAGAGCTCGAGGGGTCCGCATGATTATCTACCTGAACGACATACTGATTATGTCTTCGTCCCCCGAGCAACTTCTCAGGCACCTAGGATGGACGGTGAATCTCCTGGAGGGACTGGGTTTCGTCGTAAACTGGGAAAAATCCATTGTGAACCCGGTACAAAGGATAGAGTTCCTGGGCTTCAAAGTCGATTCAGTCACCCAGTTTCTGTTCCTCCCGGAGGCAAAACTCCGATCGATGAAAAAGGAGATACGACAGGGCTGCAAGCCACCTCTCTCTCCGTCCGGCAATTGGCGAGAGTGATCGGCCTGTTGGCCTCATCGATTCAGGCGATATTTCCGGGCCCGCTACATTATCGAGCCCTACAACGTTTGAAGGGGTCCCATCTTCGCTCAGGGTGCTCGTACGAGAGCGTGTTGACCCTGGACGGGGACTCCAAAGACGAACTAAGGTGGTGGTTGGACCACATGGAGGCCTGGAACGGCCGGGCGATCTTCGGCTCCGCGCCGGACATGATAATAGAGTCGATGCAAGCCTGCATGGCTGGGGCGCTCGCTGTGGCGGTGTCTCCACCGGTGGAAGATGGTCAGAGATCGAATCGGCTCTGCACATAAATTGCCTGGAACTTCTGGCAGGTTCGTTCGCCATTCGGAGTCTATCTCCGACACAGGGAAATTGCTGCGTTCTCCTACGCATGGACAATGTGTCCGCGGTCAGGTACATAAACCACCTTGGGGGGACAAAATCGAAGCAGTTGGCGAACTTGGCAAAGGATTTCTGGCAGTTTTGCCTACACAACGCTGTATCGGTTACGGCCGAACACATTCCGGGTCTGGACAACGAGTGGGCGGATTGGAACTCACGCTACCTGAAAGATTCAGGAGATTGGCACTTGCTATCCTCGACCTTTCAAAGGATAGACCGGTTATGGGGTCCACTTCACCTGGATTTGTTCGCGTCCAGATTGAACACCCAACTACCCCAGTACTTCAGTTGGAGACCGGACCCGACGGCCACTGCGGTGGACGCGTTCTTACAAACGTGGCCGGTGGGGCGCCATTATGCGTTCCCACCGTTCAACCTGATATCCCGGACACTGGCGTACTCGACCGGACAGGATTGCACGATAGTAATGGTAGTTCCACTCTGGCACTCTCAACCGTGGTTTCCCCGCCTTCTGGAGATGGCCATAGATTTCCCTCGGATAATCGAAATGAGGCCAGATGTGCTTCTGGATCCGGATGGGAAATTGCACGAATTGGTGGATCAGAACTTACTCCAACTCACGGCTTGGTTAATCTCGGGAGACCCTGGTGTGTCACGGACGTTTCGCAGATGACTGCTCGACTCTTGGAGAAAGCCTGGGCACCAGGTACCAGAGTGGCTTACAAGACCGCATGGCGCGTGTGGTCTGGCTGGTGCTTGGGAAGATTGCTGGATCCACTTTCTGCCCCTCTGAATGCGCTGTTTGGTTTCCTGATGGAACGTTTCGATTCTGGTTTGGCTTATCGTACCCTTAATGTTTATAGATCAGCCATTTCGGCCGGACATCAAGGGATCGACGGATCTCCGATTGGACAACATCCTATTGTGTGCCGCCTGTTGAAAGGTATCCGTTTTGCTAGACCTCCAAGATCTAGATACTCATCGTTTTGGGATGTTAACGTTGTCCTTGGATTCTTGGACTCCTGGCCCTGTAATGAGGACTTGACACTCAAACAGTTATCATGGAAACTGGTTATGCTTCTGTGTCTACTTTCGTGTAAGAGGGTATCGGACGTCAGGGCTCTGGACTGGAACGCGGTCTCGTTCACCCCCGGAGGTGTGTCGTTTAATATCTCAAGGAGGACTAAGTCGGCTTCCAAGTCGGTGGACTATCCTAGATGCTCCATCAGACCTGCTTTGTGCCCTGTGGCTTGTCTCCAGGTTTATTTGGATCGTACTCGGCTGTTGAGGTCAGCTGACTTGCCTCCACTCTTTATCTCCTTGAGAGCACCGTTTCTACCGGTCTCGTCGCCTACGCTTGCCCGATGGGTTAAAGATCTCCTTTCTGCTGCGGGGATCGATACTTCGTTTTTTTCGGCTCACTCGGTTAGGGGTGCCATGGCATCGAAGGCTTCTTCGATAGGATGTCGCCTGGACGATATCTTGAAAGCGGCAGATTGGTCTAAGGAATCTACGTTCCGCGATTTCTACTTCCGCCCGATTGAACATGTTTCTTCGTTGGTTGTGGCTCAGCTTTAAACTAGCATAATAGGAGCCTCCGTGTCATTAATAAAATTCTCAGATTTTACTATTAACATGACGTAAAGTCATGATTTTATTAATGACACGGAGGCGAGTATTATTCCCACCCACCCTCCCGTGGGTCTGGGTCTGGTTTACGCTTATGGTTCAATCGGGGAGGGGGGGTTCTTCTTATCTCACGGTAAGTACACATGATTTACTTGTATCAAGTATATGGTGTTGTAGAGTGTGACATATGTACATAGTATTTTGATTATGATGCTCTTTATCTGCAGGTCACGTGTATACGATATGTTGCACTCAGTTCCTAAGTTTGGAGTTTACCACCTGTTTCTTTGTTTTTACAGCTTGATTTCATTCTGCTGATGTCTACCGGTTTGACATTTATTAGTTGCTAATTGGATGTTTCGGTTTGGGTCTTCGGTTCAGAAGGCAAAGAAGAGGAAGTGGAAGTACAAGGATAGAGATTTGTGGACTGTACCTAGAGACTGATTGGCTGCCCTGTTACTAGGCAGATATGGTTGTATATGTTATACATTGCTTATATTCTACTTATTTTTCTCTTTCAGTTATATTTCTCTTTGCTGCTGAGGAATAAAGTAAGAAAGAGATAGCATAATAGGAGCCTCCGTGTCATTAATAAAATCATGACTTTACGTCATGTTAATAGTAAAATCTGGGAATTTCTATGCACTGAAAAGGTTAATTAACTAACCAGTTTAACTAGTTCAGACTCAGGAGGCAGGTTGATGGGTAGGGAATAGGCTGGAAGGAAGGACATGTTAGCTCGTTGGGGATAACAGCGCTGAAGCAGTACAGGGGCACAGGCACAGGCAGCCTTACTATTTTTTTCTAAGGCTGCAAGTATGTGCTATAGGCCCATATTTTTTATCCAGGACATGGAGTTTGATTGGTCCAGAGCAGCAGAAACCTTTATCTCCATTACATCTAAGATCCTGCAACGTTAAGTATAAACCTGTATAATTTTGTAATACTTGAGACTAGACTAAATTGCTTGGATAGCCTTTCATATGTTATATGGGAAATATACGATTAGTACCGCAAAAGATGATTGTCTAGTTAGTATTACAATTGTTTAACTAGAATATGTTTATTAATATTTGTTATATTTCTTTAACATATTTTTATTAAACATAATCTTTTGTTGCACTCTGAGTGGTTGTCATTTGAGGACTACCTGTTAGGATATATCTCTGCCGAAATAGCTTATGCAGCTAATAATCTAAAAATATAGCTGTACAAAATTAAAGAGTTGGCTTTGAATGCCTGCAAATATATGTGGGCTTCTAGTAACTCTATTGTTAGTGTAACTAGGTGATGTCTCTTGTTAGTGTAACTAGGTTACACCTGGACACATGGCTGGTGGCCATCTTGATGCTCTTTGAAGCACATAGTCGGCAGCCATATTGGTTCTCCTAAAAGTTTAACACAGTAGTTATATTGGAAACCCTCTGAATTGCGCAAACTAATGCATCCAAAACCATGAACCACAACAGACCGCGCACAATTTAAAGGTTTAAAACCACCACAGAGTTCATTTTTGAGATGTTTGGTGCCAACACGATGCCAGTATTCATAAATGCATGTTAGCTCTTGATTACTTGCACAGCTTTTATAAGGATAAGTTGTGCTTATTAATATTAAAGATGGCTGCTCTAATATAGAAGGTTTAAACCAGTCGAAACTCTGGAAAGATCAGTTTCCTTATATGTAAGCATTACAAAATATTTCACAGGTACGTTAACATATATGACC